AATTTTAATATTTTTATTAATTTATTTATATTCAATGCGCATACCGAGTGAAATGGTAATGCTCAGCAATAGGATGAAATTCCACCCCGAATCTAAGATAGGTTGGGAGGGGCTGGTGGGAACAGCGGCAGCAATAAGGCATGTTCTATTGGTGATTAGGGAGAGAGATGAAAAAAAAAATTTTAAGGTGAAGTCGATGGTAAATGCCCAATTTCTTATTAGTATCGATTGACTATTTACTAATTACCATCTCTGATAAACAATTTTTCATTTCCATTAAAGGGTGGATAATTGTTAATAATGTGATAACACCACCAGACTCATCAGAAGGGATCAATTGCAAGGTCAATTACATGATGAGGTAGAATATGATGAAGATTGTTGTGGCATTGATGTACAAATCTTCAAGGAAAAGGTCAAGTAGCTCGGATGATTCTGCAAAATATCTGATGGCATAGTGGGGTGCATGATGGATTTGGAAGGAAGCAGAAAAGTCAGAGAAGTTCGGTGCTGCCATAGCGACTAGCAAAGATCAGCAGGATCATGACAAGCTTGCAACTATGAGCTAGGAGAGGCACAACATAAATAGGGTTTATTGATATCGAAATAATAAATACGTAAGAATTTCAAACATTTTTTTATATCATGTTAAAATAATAATAATAATAATAATAATAATTATAAGGGATTCCAAATGTTCTGCAAGTTAAAACTACCCAATTAAATTTTTTGATCTTCAAATCAGTACATTTCAACAGTTCAAGAAATTAATAGAAAACATGATCAATTAAAAGAATATAAAATAATTATAAATCAGTCAAATTAACTGTCACTTTTTTATCACCCTTTAAACATCCGACAACACAAAATAATATTTCAAACTAACCAGTTGACTGCTAAAGCTAAAACTAGTGTGTACAAATGATAATTTATTATATACCTCACCCGAATCCTCACTATGTTTGAAACAGAAGGTAAAATGTTATAATAATTTAACAAGTAATCAGAGGTGTCTTTCTTTACTTTGAATGTTAATTGCAGCAAACTTAAGAATCTTTCAAATTGCATAAAATCATTTCCTACCTCTAATGCATTTGATAAATGGATAAGTACTTGTACAAGAATTTCTCAATCATTCCGATGAGATCAATTTAAATCTCGTATATACACATTATCAATGTCATAGAAAAAAAAACAATCAAAGATGACTTGAAACAAATAAATGGCACGATTTTACCATATTAATGCCTATTTTTGTTAAAACAAATAGAAAAGAATCATTGATTATCGACTAGGCCAGCATTTATTTGTCTAAAACTCATCAAATTTGGCAGCAGTAAATGATGAAACATGAATAAATTAAAAAAAATAACACTAAACAAGCTGTGCATGTGTTTTGCATGCAGAACACAGATAATTAGTAAAGGAGAAGGGCAAATTGTGCTCAACCACATGTATATTGATACAAAAGCAGAGCAAGAAGAGCAGCTTAGTCATGCAAAGCATAAGCAACTGGTACAAAGGAATTTCGTCCGTAAGACCAGAAAATCAAATGAGAAATTTGTATATCTTGGATACTGTACATAGGCAAAAAATAGGGGAAGATGGTATGATTTCAGGCTGTATAGTTGAGAGAAAGCAAATGAAATACAATACATTACTTTGATCTGGAATCAGAAGATGGTTAGTGGTTACTTCTCAATATGAATGAAGTAACCTAAATATAAAAATTGGATAAAAAAAGTTTTAAGCAAAAACCAAGTGTTTGAAATGCTACAAAATTTAAACAACTATTGACTATTTTTTATGAAAGTAAAAAACGATAAAATTCCAATTCATAGAAGAAAAGTTATGGGGTTCTTACTATAAATTAGCTATAAAAAAATCAAGGATCATGAACCCACACAAAAAATTGGACCTTCATGCAATTGATAAGAAATGATCAAATTGTAAAAATTTTGACAAAATTCAAAACTTTCAACCAACAATAATAAATGATTAGAGGAAGCATGGTTAAATAAAAAACGAGAAGTTTCCAAAAAGCAAGCTTCAAAAAGCCTCTTGTAGAATTTTTATGCCTCATAAATGATCAAAAAATTGAACCTTGGAAGTTTGCTCATCCAAAAAAAATTTAATAATCATAAACTTATTTTCTTTAAATTCTTAATTTCCTATGTAAAATCCTAATGAAACTTCAAAAAAAAAGAAAATGACCAAAAATTACTGAGTCAAGACTATAAACTATCCTAAATAAGGTGAGCATTCCATCAATTTGGATGGATCAGTTATCAAATTGGTCAAACAATTGCAACCAAAATCCAAAATCTAAAAAACTAATACAATCAAAATCTTGATAAAACCGAATTGATCAAACCAAAATTTAATTTGGTTTAAACAGTTCCATTATAAACAAAATTAAATTTAATTATTAGTTGACGTTCGGTTTTGAACAAACAGCAAGAATTGCATATCTTATATATTATCAATTTAAATCCATGAATCCTCCATTTAATTTCATAATTTTGGTTTTTAGTTTGTTTGGTTAAATGAAAATTAAAACTGTACCAATAATAGAAAACAAAACATTGAGATTGTAAAAAGTAAAGCTGAAATGTAATTTTGAAACCGAACCGAATCAACCAAAGTTGCTCAGTTCAATTCAATCCTTTGGTTTTGACCAAATAATGCACACTAGTCCCAAGCACTAGCTATAGTACTACAAAACCAAAGTCCAAAACACTTGCAAGGAGAGAGAGTAAAAAACGCCAAAGTTTCGTACATTTACCTAAAAATGTTAATATTAATATTTTAGTTAAATAAAAAATTTATTGAAAATTTTAAATTTACGACCATTAAGTGTTTTTATTTAAAATAAATTTATTTACCAATTATGTAATTAATCAAATACTTTCTTAAAGAAGAATGGCGAATAAATTAAGTTTAAAAAAAAATAATAAACAAGCAATAGTCCAGTTAATTGAAAATGACTATTAGCCAATTGCTTATAAGAGAGGGATATTGAGGGAAGGTCAAACAAAAAAAGAGAAGAAAATGACAAGTGTTAAAGAGCAAAGACTGAAAGTGAGTCCAGGCCGAGAGGGAAAGAACGAAGCTAAGAATGTGGGGGACAAACATGAGCCAGGGAGCAAGTGAAAATTTTTGGGAGAGTGACACCACTTGTAAGGGCAGTTTTGGGCAAGATTGAATGAAATTTTTAACCACAAGAAGGATAAAGTCAAAGTAGAATTAACATTGAACATTAGGTTGTGATAAAGGAGCAAAACATTTAGGGCTTTTATTCTTCTTCTATATCAACTAGAAGGTAAACCTTAACCCTAAATCTTAGGTTTCTTTAGATGATGATGAAGATTATTCAAGAAAAATTTTTGTTTGGATTATCAATTTCCTTGTAAATTCCAAATTTATAAAAAAAATCTTAAAGCTCTGTAATTAAGCTTAAAATGAAATTAGTCTCACTGGCATACACTTGTTAGATACCCCTTGAATTTATGCATTCCAGCACTTAAAAAGTCTATTATGGATATTATAAAATTACAAAAAGCTTAGAACTTATATTGCTTTAAATTATAATTTTTTTATAATTGGGTGATTAATTTATGTAGAATTATCAGTATATACTAAGGCTTCATTAATTATATTATTTTTAATATGTAAATGATCTCTAAATGAAAAGGGTTATGGTTCATAATCATATTTCTTAAACAGTTAATTATTTATAAAATTTAATACAAATTCTTGAACTAAGTTATGATATTGAATTCTTTATGTAGATATTAATGGAATATTACTTAAGAAAGGAGAAAAGATTGCTATATAAGTTTTATTAGGCGATCTTAAAAAAAGTTTAGGCATAAGAAAATTCTAAAGATTTTTATTGCATCTACATTATAGATAAAAGATTGTTATAGAAAAGTTTAATAAGGCAATCTTAAAATAAGTTTAAGGCAAAATAAATTCTAATGATTTTTATTGCATCTACATTATATGCATGACATTAGATTTGGCTTAGAAAAATAAATACTTGAGGAAACAAAATCAAGGTTAAGGAATAGTATTTCAATATTTAAGGTGGATAATAATATTTTTAATATAAAGTAGTATTTTATTATTTCTAAATCTATTACATTTGGATAAGATGTTTTTGATTCAATTTTCTTATATGCTAAAAGCCTAATATGATATATTATGACAAGTCAACTTTATAAATGTCATTTAATTAAATATCTTTCATATCAATTAATTCATTATATTACTAGAAATGAAATATATGACTTCATGAAATTCCATGATAGTTTATTCAATATTATATAATTTTCTCATAAATAAATAAATAAATATATATATATATATATTAAAGTTCATATGTATATATATATATATATATATATATATATTAAAGTTCATATGCGCATGTTGACGAATAGAGTTTCCCCCTTATGGTACTAACTGAAGAAACTAATGTACTCCCACGTTGATGATTTTACCTTCAACATCAAATAATAATATTGTAAGAATAAAACCTATGCCACACTTTGTTGA